TAGTTGCTACTTGATAATTTCCATGTTTTGAAGCCGAAACAGCACGGGCTCTACAGCCATCATTTTTAAATTACATGATAAATGAATGTACGAGTGTCCATAAATTGAATGGCATTTAGTTTCATACCTGTTATTTTAAAAACAATTTCAATTGCTGTTCTGTATTTCTTTTTTTTGGGTGAGTACCAAAATGGATATTTTTTTCACATTTGGGTGTCGTCGTCGTCATTTTTATACATTACCCTATTCGCACATCGCTCTTTCTTCTTGCCGATTGACGTAGACATTTTTTGTCGGTTTGTTGTTGTCTGCATGCCACACCGATCAACAAAAACACAGAGAAACTGACCCGAAAAACTCACTACAGTCATTCATTATTCCATGCATTTTGTGGCCACAGAACATCAACAAATGAATCTTCAACCAATCGTGTAAATTGCCATTGCTAATTTAGTTTTGCGTTTGTGTCTGTGTGTGTGTTTTTTTTGTTTCCTTCATCGAAAATCATGAGATTGCGTTTATCAACATTTTTACACAACCATTTAACATTTCATTATAATTTTATTTTATTTGTATTTTCGTCAGTTTTCTTGCATTCTGTGCACGTCTCCGCCTTCCCTTCGTGTGAAAATAAAAATGTTGTTCGGCACAAACCATTTGAGAAAAGACAAAGAGAATGAGCGGAAAAAAGAGCAAAAAAGTACTTGCTTTCTTTTCTATTTCACCGACAACCGCTAGCTGAAATGTAAATTGTTCAATATGCATTTTACTGTTACGTTTAGCGGTGAAATGGAAGAGACAACAGTGAAACAAACAAATTGCAACGTGAAAAAAAGGCGGCCAGCATTTCTATATAAATATGGAAAATAAAACGGAATAAAATTAAATAAAATGCGCTTCGTGCAAATAAAAGAATTATAGCGGTGCAATTTGGAGAATGAGCAATGGAATGAAGCACACACCAAACCAACTTACACGGGACCAAACCGACTAAATGTAAAATTCAAAGAGCTTCATTCAACTTGTCTTAGCTTCATCAAGTTGCTTAATAGTTTTGGATTCTATTTTTCTTCGTTCTGTTTTCTATTCATTTCGGCGGTTTATTTTTGTTTCTCGTTCATCTGGCCGTGCGCGTATTTGCGTTTAGAGTTCGTTTGAGTGTGTGTGTGTGTGTTGTTTCGTCATTTGGTTAAACAGATTACAGCAAGAGAAACATTAAAGAATAACTGTCGTAACTGCTTTCGATAGCATCAACATCTCGTACAAAACAATCAAGAAACGGAGTTTCAAACAGAACAAACGTCTTATTCACACACACACAAACACCAACTCTACCAGCGAAATGAATGCAAGTGCCGAAATTATTCTGATGTTGGATTCTTTCGTGCGCGTCGCATTTCTTCTCTCCTCCTTCTCTCTCTCCCTCACACACACACAAATTCTCAATACAAATGCCTGCACCGAAGTAAAAACAACGAAAGACAAAAAAAAATAATAACAACAACAAAGCGCCCATGAATGTAACGTCGTTTGATGGCCAATTTAAGGCATTCCATTGAAAATATTCTATTTAAATTTTGTATATATTATTCAAGTCAGTCACATAACAATTGTCGATGTGCATTTTGTTCTTAGGATTGATATTGTTGTTGGTGCTCTTTGGTCGTTGTCGTCATCGTTGAGCATGTGGTATGTTAAAAGTTCATGTTTTTGCGGGGACGGTGGCGACACACGTGAAATGAATGTATTCAGTTTTCGGGTCTTTCTCTCTCTCTCTGTCTCTCTCTCTCTTTCTCTCTCTCTCTCTCTCTATAGACTATATATATATTCTTGTTGATTGTTTTTCCATATATAAATTTTTTTGCCCGCCATTTCTACTCTCTCATTCGCTTTGCTTGCAGTTGAGTGTCTCCAGTTATTTTCATTATTTCTTCCATCGTAATTTAAATGGTATAAACAGTCATTTCCTTTCTCTCTCTCTTACTCTCCGTCTATTTCTTTGTTTCTCTCGCTCCAACCAAATTTCTCTCTCCATTTTCCACACATGAGCAACCATTTTGCCATTTCCCGAAACGTTCCTATATGTTTTTATTTAATTTTTTAAATTGCCCCTCAACAACAACGAGAAAAAAAATGAAAGACAACATTTCGACAATAAACGTATATTTTTATCTAGTAAATTTGGTCGATAAGTACATTCATGCGAATGTCGTCGAACACACTGTCGACTTCTTTTATTAAGCAAAACACAGTTGAAATGGATTAGAAAGAGTTGCCTTTGCTCAATGGAGAAGAAAACTGAGACCAAGAAAAACTCTGAGGATACATTTGAAGCATGGTGAAATTACTGTGCGAATACATCGATATGCTGTGACAACAGATTGCCTGAGAAATGGCACAGCCAAAGTGGTTCGTATGGTGATACATTAAAATGTAGTTGAGTTGAATTGGCCTGCTTTAAATTAGATGACAATGAGAATATTGTGTGCCATTTGTATAGGCGAAAATGTAGCAACTTTTAAATGGTTCATCAATTTTGATGAAAAAAATGTCAAAATAAAACGAAAAAACAAAATATACGTTCAAAAGAGAACGATTGAAACGATCAAAAATTTATATTTTAACTCGACATCATTTCAATTTTATTCAAGACATTTCATACGATGTCGTTACGAAAATCATAGAAAAAAGAAGCAAATAAGTGAGAGAGGGGGGCTGTAATCGCATTTTTGATGCACTTTTCATTTCGTTTCAACATTGTTGATCATTCCTTTGTTGCAAATCCTTTACAATCGCATTATTTTTCTGTACAATTTGTCTTTTCCTCTTCTGCGATTCTTTCTCTGGTTGTACATTTCAAGAATTTTATTCACTTTCGACAAGAGTATTTGTTTCGTAAAAAACAATTTCTTCGAGATGATTCACGAATGATTTTTTTTACGTTTGAATTGCTGGTTGGCTGTTTTGTTCTCGAGCGTTTACAATGCACTGTTGTTGCGAATGATGATAATAATAGCAAAAGCTTGTAGATTTATGATTTTTGCCGAATCGGCCGGCTTTCGAATCACAATTCCATTTGGTTTAGTTAATAGTTTTCTGCATTATGATTTATTCAAAAGTCGGGTGTTTATTTTTTTTCTCGTTGAAGCCCTTCACAGTTTCGTCGCCTTGATAAATGCTAATTATGATAATTGGCGAAATTTATGGAGTCTTGAAAAAAAAACTGAAAAAAGCAACAAATTCTCAAACATTTGCATGTGGCTGGGGGTTCGAAATTCAGTTGGCCATCTTCAAACAGCAAATGAATGTGTATAATGATTCATTTTTTTTCTCGTCTAACTCTTTTTGGGTTCATGAAATACTTTTTGTGTTTGTGTAGATGATTTAAATATATAAACAAAATGCACTCAATCCCAAACATGCCACGCACTCACGTGCATATTCACACATTGAACTACACATGAAATCCAAATAATTCAAAGTGCTTTTGCTTAGCATTTGAACGAGAAAAAAACGGGTTCTCGTTTTTTTTCTATGGTTTTAGTTTATACGAAACATTTTTACATGTTATGAAAAAAGCCAACAAATGGAAAAATGTGGCTTAGATCCTTTTTTTTTGTAGGCAATTATTTGTGATCAACAATTTTTGGACCATTTTTTCCATTCGTGCCGTTTTTCGGTGGTTGCTTTTTCCACCGGTCAGTGCGGCGAATGAATTTTATGTATGAAGAAAATATTGTCTTCAACTGTCAGACATTTGAATGAAGTACACATGAAATGTACATGATGGAGTCCCGAGTAAATATTGTAGGTATTTTTTCCGGGATTCCTTTTTTTTGTTGCCTTTTGAAGTTATGAATTTTGCTCCGGTAATTTATCGATGTGGAAACGTATTGGACGCAACAAACCACATAATTCTTTTTTTCAGCTTATTTCAACACATTTTTCTATAATTCAAAATAAAATCATGATTTATATTTACGTGCATTTGAAGTTTGTTTTCTTTTTTGCTCGAAGGCCAGCTTATATATGTATTGGGCCCTCTTTGTATTGTAGAAAATTAAGGAAAATAACTTTCGTTTGACGATAAAAGCAGATTTGCGGCATGATAATAAACAAACAAAAAAATGTTAAAAAAATACCACCATGACGTGTACAAGTCATTACCGGGGGAGTAAAGCACAGAGTGGTGAAAACAAAAAAAGAATGTTTCGCTAATTGCGTATATTTATGAGAGAAATTATGCCAAATTACATATGTTAATACGGATACAGGTTTGGGTGTTTGAGAATAAACGAAGCGCGTCTTGCATGGAAATAGTTGATCCGGTATCTGGTTATAGCCAATGGCAATATGGTTCTAATGCAGCGCTTTTGAAATGTTAAACGAAACCAAAATCCCGAAACATGTCATATGTTTCAGTGAATATAATGTAAATTCACTCAAAAAATGTGGCTAATCAACGAAATTATCGCTGATAAAGTCAAACGAACCATTTATCAATTAGCATTTATAATAGAACTCATCCCATTGGAACCAAATCTATAAAATATAAGTTTAGTAGTCATTATTAAACGGGTTGATTCCGACAAAAGAACATGAACGTCGTCGTTTTATACAATTTTTTTCTCTCTCTTGTGATCTGTGTTTTTTTTTTTGCTAAAATTCACTTGGTAAAAATTTAATTTTCCAAATTAAAAATCGAAAATAGTAGGAGAGAATCCAAATTGAATCAAGAGTTAAGGGTAACAAAACACAGGAAGAATGAAGTTGAAAAGCGAAAAAGAGAGGGATAGAAAGGGAATGAAAAAAGAGCATTGAAACTTGCATCAACGAGCACTTTGAAACTAATTTAATCATATTTTTCTCTCTCTTTCTCGTTCCTTCCACACAAATGTCCGTCATCAGATGAGTGTGTGCGGGATTGTTTTTCCTTCTTCAAATTTGTTCCACTCTTCTATTTGCCACACTAATTTCGGTGCGTTTCATTCAATTTTTAGATGGCGAACCGATAAAGCTTCCGGATAACTTGGAAAGTTTACCACGTGCTGATCATTTTCCGACTCAACGACATCGCTGGAATACCAATGAGGTGAGTTTTATGTATTTGTGTTGTAATTTGCAATTTTCATCGATAGAGAAAAATGCACGGGGCGGCACAACCACGGTCGCGTGGTCATGTTCACACTTGACAAAAAAAAACACAAACGTCGAACGTAGAGCAACCGAAAAAGAATGGAAACAAAAAAAAAGTAGTGCCGTGAACAAATGGATAGCATAGAGCAAGTGAAAAAAATGACATGAAGAGACAAAATAATTTCAATGACTATCGACTTACGGAATTGAAAGTTCTTTGCCAGAAGAGTGGCCAGAATGTCGTAAAATCGTAACCAGCATATTCTCAACACTTGCACACATATAAAAAGAAATTTTTCCAGCCAGAGAGATTTGGAGAGGTGGAAAAAAAAGAGTTGCACACACTTTATGTGAATTTTTATAAATCAATTAGCTTAATTAACATTTTGAACTCGACCATTTGAACGGTTGCGATATGAACCGAAGTTTTTGGAGAAGAGAATAGGGCACACGATGATAGAGAGAGGGGGGGAGACGATGGCAGAATAGACCACTTGGTAAAAATGTAAGAATGAAGGAAAGCAGTGTGGTTCATCGCCTAACTGAACATAACATTAATGAAATGTACTTGAGCGAATCCTACCGAATTTTTCACTAAATAATAAAATTTATGAAAAAAACACTGCTAAACGGCGTGTACCGTCGCTTCTTCTATTTTCTCATGGTGTGTGTGTGCGTCACTGGTCGTGATGAGAGTGTGGTTGTCCATGCACAACAAGTATTCGACGTGTTTTTTTCTCCCTCAGAAATTTGTTTCTTGCACGTTCATCGAGTGAACTGAAGTCAACCGTGCATTTTTTTATTCAATCCAGATTATCTGGACAGCATTTATATAACAAAATATATGTAGAGAGAGAGAGAGAGAGAGAGAGAGAGAGAGAGAGAGAGAGAGAGAGA